GCCCCTAGTGTCGCCTCACAGCACTCGGAACTCTCGCTTCCCCGTTCAGGCCCTATTTCCTCCTCGGTGGCCAAGCCTCCCTCTGCCTTCCTCTTAAGGATGCTCGTGAATGCGGGCAATGCCCACCGGGAGAACTCAGGATAATCCTCCATCTCAAGATCTGCGAAATCCTTTTTGCAACCTAAGGTGACATATCCTAGGGTTGAGGGGATTGGGTGTGGATGTCTTTGGGGGTCAGCCGACCACAAGGAGCCTCTTGGCCGATTTCCGGTCAGGGTGGCTGTTCCAAAGGCATCCGCATTCCTGCGGGAGGGCAGCACCTGGGTGGAGCTGCTCTGTCCACACCACACGTGCACCCCTGGCCCGTGGGCACCGGGTTGGGAATGTCTAGGCCAGCGCCGTCTCACTGATGTCACAGCAAGCCTTGTTTCCAGGCCTCCCAGCGACTTCTACGTGTACAGCGCCCCTAGAATCTAGAAGTGAGCTGAGAATTTGGAAGTAGAATTGGAATTTGGGTGTGAGGACCGACACACCGTGGACAGCCCTCATGTGCTGTGCTGTAGCACCCGCCTCCGGCTCTGCCTCTGTCCTGAGAAGCAGGTTTTCTTTGCCCGTATTATCGAGGAACCTGTGACCCAGGGGGAGGAACACCATCAAGGCCTCCTGGCAAGCCCGCAGCAGGCTAGGGCACATGCCAGGCCCTCCCAGGTTTCTCCCACCACGTTTATGCCACGAATACGGACTCAGAGGGGATGGTAGATGCAAAGGTCCCAGAGCATCCATGGGGGGGTATGTTGTGGGCACAGAGCAAGGCCAGGGCTGGGTGGCAGCGAATGGTGGGGAAGGGGGCAGAGAGGGGCTGGGCCACAAGGTGAGAGCTTCTCCTACATGGAGGAATGTGGGTGTCATTCTTGATCTGGGAACTGCTGGGGAGTCAGCGTGGGGCTCATGTGACACGAACCCTTCATGCTCCCTGGGCCTTGGGCTTGAGGGGGCTCTTTGGGCAGGACAGGCGTGGGCCAGGACCTCACTCCTCGGGCCCCAGCTACCAGTGCCCAGGGCTGGCAGGGTGATGCCCAGCCTAGGCAACTTGGAGCTGGGGTTGGGTGTGCCTGGTGGGTGCCAGGCTACTCATTCAAGCCCGCAGTGTGTATCTTTGTAAGGTTGGGGAGTGCCAGGATCCCCAGGAAGGGGAGGTGGGAGCCAGGGGACTTTTGAGAGACCCTAGTAGAATGATGCTCTGTCCTGGTGCAGGTGGGAGGCAATGGTTTTGCAGCCAGAGCAGGTCAGGGGTTGATGTGAAAATCAAGCAAGTGTGGGAGGGAAGGGCCCACCTTTGAAAGCCTGTAAAGCAGCTCTGCCCAGACTTCCTACTCCCACGATCCCCTGGGATCTTGTTAAAATGTAGGTTCTGACTGAGTGGGTCCAGTGAAGCCGGAGACTAACAAGCTCCCAGGTGACCGGCGAGGCTGATCCCTGCAGCTGAGAGGCGGAGGGTCAAGTGGCTGAAATCCTTCACCTCGTGCAAACCTCTGGACCCTGCTGATAGGATGTGGGGATCCCCTGTGACAGATGGGGACACCGAGGCTCCAGGAGGGGCAGTGAGTTGCCTGACACCTCACCAGAAGGAAAGGCAGGCTGTCCTCACCGCCCGCCACCTCCAGGCCACGTGGGACTGCCCGCCCCTGTTCCCCTGGCACCCGGTGGCCAGGTGCGGAGCCTCCTGCAAATGCTCTTTCCCGGGCTGAGGGGTTTGGGGTGTGCAGCCCCTTCATGAACGAACCTCTGCAGGCTTCTGGTGGCTCAGGAGAAGAGGGACTAGGGGACCCTGTTTAGCCAGCACCTACTGTGCACCAGGCGCGTCTGTGTTACCTCGTCTATCCTCGTGGGAGCAGCGTCTTCCTCTCAGCTCTTCCAGGGCTCGGCACACAGTAGGTGCTCAGGGATGGTCTGTCGTCTTGAGTGGAGGCATCTCCCGGCCAGGTCCGGGATGACGACAAGCACCCGAGGGACTCCGTTGCAGCCCTGGGGACAGCGCTGTCTTCCAGACGAGACGCTGTGGTCCGCAGGCAAGCGGGTCGGCCGGCGCTCACACCAAACCTGCCTCCACTTGGACTCACCACTTGGCTTCTCTCCTGCCCTGGGCCTGGGCCCCGCTGGCACTCCAGGCAGGCACCTCCAGAGCAGGTTTCAGCCCTGCAGAAGGGTCTAGAAGGTTGTGGGGGTGCCCACTTTGAAAGACTTAAACCCCAACCCACCCCCTGGGCCCGAATAGACAGAGGCAGATGGAGAAGTCACACCTGGGTGGAGCAGGTGCCACTGACAGAAGGGACCCTGAGCCACTGAGCCCCCACCCCTCTGGTTGCCTGGGGACATCGGAAGCTGCGCCTTCCTGGAGCCCGGGCCTGGCCGCTGCAGTCCTGTGCTGGGCTGAAGAGGAGGAGAAGTGGCTCTGGATTCTGACGCACTCGGTTTAGGTCCCAGCTCTGCCTTTCACTGGATGCGACCCATGGACCACACTGAGCTTTTACAACTGTAAAGCGGAGACAAAGTCAGGTGTTGGTGGCAGCGTGGCACGGAGGGCAGAGATGACGCATTCTGCATGGACAGCAGCCTGTGTCAGTAGTGCGGGGGAAGTGGCTGTCACTCATACAACCCGTCATCTCATTGCTGTGGTCACTACCCGGGATGGGAAGAGGAGGACACCTGTTCCAGGTCTCTACCACCCACCAAAGACCCCACCTGGTTCCCACTTGCTTTGGGTTTAGGAGGAGCAGCCAGGCAGGACCTTGGTGCCCTGACCTGCCTCAGGGTTAGGCATCCACTCTTCTACCCCTTGGGGTGGAGTTAATTTAATGTCTGGGTCCCCCTTCCGCTCTCCGTGGTCCTTTAATCTGGCACCACAGGACACCACCTGGCTTGCGGGCTGGCCTGCAGGATCCTGCTCTGGTGAGCAGGTGCTGATGGTGTCAGGTGGGTCCCCACATGCGGTGCCAGCCTGCCTGAGTCTCCAGGGCCTCTGGAAGCTGGCCGGTGCTCTGGCCCAGGGCGGGTCCGCCTTTGCTCTGCTGTGGCAGCTGCTGGGATCCCAGATGTCCATGTGGGAGGCACTCCCTGGACCGCACGGGGCCTGGCACTTGGTGGGGACTGTGGAGGCCTCCTGCTCCGGCCTTATTCAAGATGGGGCCACCTTGAGGTGCCAGGTCCCATATGCCCCCTGCCTGCCCTGGGACTGAGCCCAGGCCCCTCACTCCGTGTCCCCGCCGCTCAGCCCTGCCCTGCACTACAGGCTTCCCCTCAGACGGCTCCAGACGGCTATTTCAACCATCTGAAAGTAATAAGGAAGCAGCTTATGGATGAAATACCCTGAACATCAAGTTGTATCTTGTGGTCAGTGTTTCTTTCTGTCGAAACACTTCCCCTGGCCAAGCTGGGCTGGGGGAGGGGACCAAGGAAACTGCTTTCTCCACCTGAAACTCCTGGCAAGCCAGCTCTGCACAGGGCAGCCTGGACAGCGGGCCTGGCCTTCGTGTCCCTCCCTGCCTCTGCCCCTTGGCTCCAGCCTCCACCAGAGCTGACCGACATGGTCCAGCTCCAGCACCTTCTGTGGCTCCCCGCTGTCTTTGGACTGACATGTGAGACCCACCACCTTGATCCCCACCCTCACCTGATTCTGGTGAGGCGTCCAGGATCCAAGGTCTAAGAGGGCCTGACTCAGAGATGGTGCCGAGAGGGAAGCCCTCCTTACACGCATGCCCCAGTTGCCTCACTGCCCCGCCTTTCATTCCCTGCCCTGCTGCCCCCCACCCCGCAGGTACCCTGGGGTCCTTCCATGTCCAGCCTTCCTCTGAGCTGGCCCCTCCCCCGGGAACCGCCTCTTGTCCTTTCCTGCAGCCAGTACTACTACCGCCTCTGGTCCCCAGGCCCCACCAGACCCCCTCAGTGGGGACCCCAGTGTCCCAGTCAGACCCTCTTCACACCCTCCAGTTCCTGCAGAGTGTCTGTCACCCCTGAGACTGAGCTGCAGGGCCAGGCCTTGGCTGCTGTATTTACTGCTGTGTCTTTAGGCCCTGCGCAGGGCCTGGTACATAGTAGGTGCTCAAGAAGCATTTGTTGGGTGGATTGATAGATGATCGACGGGTGGTGGGTAGGTAGATGGATGGGTGGCTGAGCCTTTATTTGTGGGCATCTGAAGCCCTTACTGATGCTCAGGAGCCCTGGGCCTAGCTAGGTTGGGCAACCTGGACCTCACTGATTCTCGCAGGAGGCCATGTGGCCCAGGGCCACAGACAAGGGCTTCGAAGCTGGGAGATATGCCCAAGGCATGGGGGGCCCAGAGCCGAGTTGGGTATGGTGCCTGCCCTCTGGGAGCTCGCTGTCCACCGTGGGAGACAGGGCAGCAGCAGAGCCGGTGTGATCGGGTGGCCTGGGCCAGTGCTCTGGGGCACAGAGAGGAAGGGACCTGTTCTTTAGGCTACCCTGGAGAAGGCTTCCTGGAAGAGGTGATGTTTGAATAGGCTTTATAGAATGAGCAGGTGTTGGCTGGTGGGGCTGGTGTGTGTGTGTGGGGGGGTTCTGCGCAGGGAGAACAGCATGGGCTAGAGTACATGGCATTTTCTGGGCACAGAGAGAAGGTTGGGAGCGTGGCATGGGGAGGGGGGAAGTAAAGCTAAGGAGCTGAACCGAGATGCAAGCTGCCAGGCCAAGGGCTTTGAACTTCGTCTTGACAGCAGCGGGGAGCCACGGAGGGTTTTACAGGGAAGGTGCCTGCATCCATCTCTTCAGCTCTGATTCTGTAGCACCCAGGTCAGAGCCAGGAAATAGCACCCAGGTCAGGTCCAAGTGCGTCCCTGGAATTCTAAAATCCCTGGGCGTTCTTTTCCGGCCTCCCCGTTCCCCAGCCATGCGCCATTCCAGTTCCCATCTCCACGCTCAGGTTTAGGCCCTGGGAGCCCCAAGAACAGGGCAAGAGATGGCTTGTTGTCGGCGGTCTTTGCACAGCTCTCCGAGGCCGCCCCACCCCTTCTCCGGCCCCGCCTGAGCCCACTTCACACCCAAGAAGGGTGAGGCTCAGGCGGGTGGGGGGGACTGGCCGGGGCCTCGCTGGGTGGGCGCCGGCCCGGCGGCTCTTCGGCTGTCAGCAGGGATGCCTGGGGTGGGGGAGGGCGCCCGGGAGGCCAGGAGGCCGGGCCGCCTGCCTGGGGACCTGGGCTGCTGGGCTCAGGACCCACATGGCTCGCGCCTCAGCTCTGCCCCCTGCTGGCCGGGGCTGGTGGCGCGCCTGGCTTTCCGCCTGCGCTGGGGAGACGGTAACCCCCCTGGCAACTGATACGGGCTCCTCCGCAGGGCTGAGCGTGCGGGTTCGCCTTTTAACCCAGAGGCTCGGACAGCCCACAGTCGCCTGCTCCATGTCCAGATCTGCGCTGTCATCTCGGTGCGGATGGTAGACCTCTCTGTGCTGGAGGGGGCAGACTCAGCCACCTCCCAGGGCAGGAACTGGAAGAGCTTGGGGTGGCTCCCCCCACGCCTTTGGGCGAATTCCGGTGCTGTTGGCAGAAGGGAGGGGACGGGGTATTCCACAGGTGTTCTAGTGGCGCTCATCAGGACGCGGGTGGGTGCTCCCTGGGGGAGGTGTGAGCCTCCCTGCAGCAGCTGTCCTCCCAGAGGGACCCCCCTTCCTGCAGTCCTCCGTCAGCTTGGGGAGGGGAGGGTGCGGGCCTTGGCCCCAGGGGCACAGCAGAGCTGGGCAGGCGGGTGAGGACTCTTATTTACAAGGACTGGCTCCTCAGGTCCTAGGGCTCCCTCCCAGGTCCTGGCGGAAGTGCCAAGAGCAGCTCCGGCCGGCTGTGCGCCCAGCGTCATCACAAAACCCTACGTGTGCGGCAGGTCCCTGAGTTCTGTGGAAACCTGCGCCCTGGGCTCAGGGCAGAGCAGGCCAAGCCCCAGAGAGCGTGGAGGTGGGGACAGATGGCCCTGGCTGCTGGTCTCATCGCCTTGAGCTCTGCATTCCCTCTGAGAAACAGGAATTGTCCTTCCTAGAAAGATGTGGGGATTTATTGAGATGACATGTGTCAAAGGGCTGGGCATTCACTAGGAGATTAATAAATGCTCATGGCCAAGAAGAGAGAGACTGCCTTAGTTTGATGAGATCTAATTCTACACATCAGAGCCCCAAGTGGGCCTCCTTCTCTGCCCAGGCACCCCACCTTAGACTCTCGGCATGTGGGGCCAAGGGATTTTAGGGTCCCTCTGGTCATCCCTGTGCGTCCTCTGCTCACAAGGGTTCACCAGACACCTGTTCTGTGCTGGGCCTTGTGGGAGGGGCCACAGAAGGCAAATGGCACAGAAGGCCAGGGAGTGTCCCTGCCTGTCTGGAATGCGCAGCCTAGGGGCAGAGAGAGACCGGAAGCAGATAATTGCACAGGTAATGGGTAACCACAGTGGGCGGGGCTGCTGTGAGGAGGGGGCCGGGCAGGCGGGGGGCAGGGAAGGCTCTTCTGAGGTGGCCTCTGGACTGATGCTTGATTAAGGGCTTAAGGGAAGTTGGGAGGGGCGTTCTGGGCAGTAGGAAATGCAAGGGCCCTGTGGTGGGAGAGAACCTGGCTTGTTGGAGGTCCTGGCAGGAGCTCAGGTGGCCAGCCAGGTGAGCTTGGGCACTGAAGTGAGTAGGGAGCCCCTGAAGGGCTCTGCATCCGTAGTGAAGGTCTTCAATGTGGAGAATCGTTGCCAGGGTCTAACCCCTGGTGGATCAGGGATCCCAGGGCCTTCCACCAACGTGTATGGTAACAGCCACTCTTCTTAGCAGGGTCTGTGTGGCCGCCTGTGAGCTGCCCTTGCAGACATTCCTGCCATCCTCTCCTCTGGTCACCCTGGGCTCCTTTGAGTGTCCAGAGCAAGAGTGTTTTCCTGTGTGTCAGCATTTGCATGTGCTGTTGCCCCGTGGGAAACACCCTCCCCTCACCTGTGAGCTTGGGGCTCACCTTCTGACCCCCTGCCTCTCTGTGTGGTTAGGTTTTTGGGCCCTTGGAGATTTTCTGCTGCCTTTGAACCCCCAGCATCTTGTAACTGGGCCCCTGCTGGGGTTTTGAGCTCACTAACTGTAACACAGAGCCCAGCACTTAGCAGGTGCACCGTGCATGTTCGTTGAATGAATGTATGAATGTATGAATGAATGAATGAATAGCATGCTGCACCATGTAACTCATGCTGAACAGAGCTCATGGACTAAGAGGTACCCGCAGGGCTAAGGTGAGGCCGTCCAGAGCTCTTTCTCTAGCACTCCTGCTCCCCCCACCCCCAGTGCTGCTGTCCCATCCCTCAGCCAACACATAAAATGTTAATGTTCTCATTTATTCTTTAAAAATTAATTTAAAAATATTTTATGCGCGGCCTCAATCACAGTTGGGAACCATTTAATTACTCCCAAGTGGCAGGGCATCAGACAGCTGCCGTAGCTGGTTACACCCCCCTCTGCTTGCATGGCCTGTTCGGAGCTGCTGTTTGGGATACGGAGGGCTCTGGCTGCTGCGGTGCCTCTGGAGGCATGTGGCTGCCGCTGGCCCGAAGCTATTGGGCTCCAGGGGCCATTTTTCTCTGCAGGAAGCACGTGGAGACCCGGCACAGCACTGGCATACTTTCTGCAGGCAAAGTCTGCCAGGCCCTGCAACACCCCTCTGCCCTGGCCAGGCACGTTCGTCCTTCCTGGGTACTCATGAGGACCCTGCCCTCCCTCGGGGCTTCCCAGCAGATTGAACTCTCGTGACTTGGGACGCCTCATGTATCTCTGCCACCACTTTCCTGCAGGGTGGCCTTGGGTCATGACTGGATCTCCCAGAGCCTCAGTTTCCCTGGCTGCCATCTGGGATCAGTCCTGGAGCCTGGTCTCGCAGGGGTGGCATGGGGCTCCGTGAACCAGTGAGAGGGCTTTATGTTCTTGTGAGGACGGCAAGTCTGTACCTGCCAGCTTCTCTGGTGACTCCAGGGGAAGCAGCATGCTGGGCTCATGGTCTGCAAGGCTAGTTCGTGGCCGTGTGTCATTCTCGTTCTGGAGCCCGGCCCAGGGGTCTGACCCCGAGTCCGGGTCAGGGGTGTCCCGGGACAAGTACATGATGGCTTAGCGTCCTGCTGGGTGAGAGCCAGAGCCAGCTCTTCTGGGCAAGCCCAGGATGCAGAGGGGCCTGGGGTGGCAGGCACCCGGTCGGGCTGGCCTGCGGGCTGCGCCCTGTGTATTCTGATGCCAGGAGTCTGTGTCCACTTTAGAGACACACAAGGTGAGGCTCTGGGGACGGTCTACCCGGCATGGCCGTGTGGAGGACCTGGACTGGGGAGGGCCTGAGCAACCAACGGAAATACCATCAGGACATGAGCTGCTGCTGGTGGGCACCCCCTCTGCCCAGTCCTCACATGGCCCCTCGTCTGGACAAGGTTCTCGAGAATCAGGGGCTGAGCTTTCTTCTGGCTAGGCCAGCAGATGGCCTGGGAAGGATCATGGGGCTGGGAGGGCAGAGCTGGGGTCCTGCGGCCAAAAAGAGGTGGGGGCCGGGAGGAGGCGGTCCCCATTGGGGTGGTCTGGGAAGCCCTCCGCGCATGGACTCATTGCCTTCCCTGCACCAGGCCCGTGTAGTCCTCGGGGGGCTGATGGCAGTTAATGGGATGGCTTCCTCCCCGTGACCTCCCCTCGTCCTGTCCCTCTGTCTGTGGCAAGCTTCCTTGGGTTACTTGTTCCAGGAGTATCTCCCCCTGGCATGTCCCCATCTCTCCCTCCCTGGGTTTCCATGTCTGGGCATCGCTCACTGAGATTTTCAAAGTGCTGCCTCTGGACTGGGGATGGGCAGGACTGGATGGTCATCCTTCAAAAGTGGGCGAAGCACTGTGACCCGCGGCTTTTGCTCCGGGTGGCTCGGCCTTGAGGGTGCCCCCTGTTCTGCGCCAGGGCCCCTCCCTGGCCCCCTGGGCTGTGGGCTGGGCTGTCCCAAGGGGCCCCAGTGCTCAGGGAGGCTCCACATTGGGGTTATTGCTGCTGTTATCATCTCAAATTTCTGAATGCTTTTGAGCAAGTGGCCCCACGTTTTCCTTTTGCACGTGGCCTCGGACCCCGTGGCTGACCCTAGAGGCGTGTAGTGGGCAAGTGTGCCCCTCACTGCCCTCTCCCTCAGTCGACAAGAGCTGGGTGGTGGTGTGTGGTGGGGATGCATGGACGGGCTGCACGTCCGGTTGCCCTCAGAGGTGGCCTTCTGAAAGGGAGGTGAGGGCTCCTGCGCCCCGCCCGCTCGGCATTCCTGAGCTCGGCCCCTGAAGCAGGCCGAGCCGGGCTTTCCTCCTGCCAGGGTTTCCGAAACCAGGCTAATGAAGTGTCTCCTATAAAGTGTCATATAAAATAACCTGCCTTAAAGAATGGCCCATGTGGGGCAATTGGCTGCTGATGCAGGCAACAATTACAATGGTTGTTAACCCCCTGAGCTGTGAGCAGGGAAATGGAGCTAATTTGATATCTTCAGTTGCAAATTGCAGTTGTCAAGGCGGAAAGAAGAGGCAGGTACCTCGAAGGTGGTGACGCCTGCTTCCCTGGGTGCCGGCCACACTCTGCCCTAGCTGCAGCCCACCAGGCCTGGTGTGGTGGTGGCAGACAGGGGACCTTGGGGATGAGAACATGTGATGTTTGCTGAACCCTGTGCACACCACGCTCTGCTAAGGCTCCTCCAGTCATGTGATGGTGCCCTCAGGACGAAGTGACCTGGAAGCTGAGGAAGCCAAGGGTCTGGCCCAGGATCACCCAGCTAAATTGATACCATAGATGCGACTCTGTGTCTGACTGCGCCATTTGCAGACATGCCCAGGTGCTCTCAGGAGCCTGAGGATGGGTCCACAGTGGCCTCCAAGGGATTTGGGGGCAGCTCCTGCAGGCAGGTGGTAGGATGGTGTAGCAGGTGCCTGGGCCTCTGTCCGTGTTTGGTTCCTGGTGGGCCCACCAGCTCAGCTGAGTGACACCAGGCAGAGCAGGTGACATTTCTGAGCCTCAACCCTTCCATATGTAAGGTGGGTGTAGCAGTCCTGATACCTGGAGTGGCAGGTGTCTGCAAAGTGGCCGGCATGCCCTGCACCTGGCACTCCAAGGGTGAGGTGAGTGTTGCCTTCTGTGCTCCTGGCCCCACTGCAGAAAGACGTGACCTACGCAAGCGGTAGGTGGCAGAGCACGGCGATCAAGGGCTCAGGCCCCTCTGCAGAGCTCAGCATGGATACTTCCCCCTGGGTGACCCTGGGCCTGTTCTGTGAGCTGCCTGCCTCATTTTCTCCACCTGGAAAATAGGGCTAATAGTAATAGTGTCTGCCGCATGTGTGGTTTGCAGGACAGACTGAGTTAATACACAATGTAGAGTAAGTGTTCAAAATGGAGGTGCCCTGCACCTACAAAGTACCTGCCTTGTAGCACCTGTGTCCCATGAGGGGGACAGACAGGTCTCGTTAGGGGGATCCTGAGGCCTCCAGGTGCAGCAACTGGCCAGGCCACAGCTGGGAAGTGGCAGCGCAGGGCCTTCCTCATGAAGCAGGGGTGTGATGTGCTTGCCCAGATGGTGGAGGGTTAGGGAGCCTCTGGGGCAGCTGCCTGCAGGCGTGCATTCCCAGACGTTGTGAGTGAAGGCCTCCACGGGGTCTGCATGCCGGCCCCCACCCCTGCCGGCCATGCATGTAAAGGCAGCCACCCCCCCTGCAGTCATTTGGACTTAACAACTGTCAGGCAAGTAGGGTTGCCTGCCCCCCGTCCCCAGTGTGGGCCTGAGGTCTGGGGTCTCAGTGAGCTAGCTCTCTGCTGAGTCCTGGGTCACCAGGCCCTCAGAGCAGATGCTGGGCATCCTCAAGGAGGCACAGGATGAACAGGGCCATGGGTCACCAGGAGGCTAGGCTGTGCTTATTCCATGGAGCATTCTAGAAATGGAGGAAAATCAGGTGAACTGCCCAGCATCCCTGAGCCTTTGCTGCCATTGCGGGCAGGAGCGGGAAGGTCAGCCATCAGGGTCAGCGAGCTTTTCTGTGACAGCAGTGGCCGGTCCCTAGTTGCCTGGGGGCTGGAACACACACGGGGTGGGGCCAGGACAGTGAGGAGTGGGGACGGCTGAGACGGGTGGTCCCCAGCTCTCCTTGAAGTGGGTGAGGGCAGAGCAGTGCAGGTGGTCCCACCCACTCAGCCGCAGAGGGGAAACCCGAGGCGGGGGACAGAAACATGCCTTTGACCCATGGTCCCTCTCCAGGCAGGGTGATGGGAAGTTGGGGGAACAGGTTCGGGTTTGGAAGTGAGGGCTGCACGGCAACGTGAGTGAGACCCGTTCCTCATGTGCTGGGCTCCCCACACCCCGACTCATCACATGTACTCACACAGTGATTCAGAGTTCTTGTCATGAGGAGCCCAGATGGATGGGGGGTTGGGGCCCAGGATTCTGGGGGGCCACGGAGTTTGGAAGCTCTGCCTTCCAGCTTTGGGAACCACCCGGACCCCCCAGCCGCAGCACTGTGGGCGGTGGACAGCACGGTGGCCCTCCTTTCCATAGCCCCGGGTAGGCTTTGGTCTGCTCTCCGTCCTGTTGCCGAGTGGGAGGGTGGGCTTCCCTGAATGGAGGGTGGGCTTCCCTTCAGGGATCTGGTTTGATTCGATGGGGATGGGCAGGGGTTTTACCTTGTGATAAAAATGTCACTCGCACCATGCTGGGGCCTGATGTTCAGAGGAAAGCTTGGGAGCTGTAGAAGCACTCTCCAGAGAGCAGAGACCGTAGCATTTATTTCTGCTTGGCGTCTGTTTAGAAACCTTAAAACTTTATAATGTGTGGCACGGGAAAGACTGAGAATACAAAGCCTGAAAAACAGATCAGCTATGATTTCAGAACAGCAGAACTTTACTCTGTCTCTTCACTTAGCATCACACGTGCCGTGATTGGGAGGCACTGGGGTGCCCTGCCAACAGCCCCATCCCTTTACGGCAGCCCTCAGGGACAGGCGGTGGTGTGGGTTTCTCCAAACTGGGCCCCCAGGGCTCTGTCCAGGGTGATTTGATGGAAATAGCTGAGTATGTGCTCCAGCAACTCCACGTCCAGCTGTGTGACCACAGACAGCTCCCAAGACCTCTCCAAGCCTCAATTTCTCATCTGTGAGATGCAGGGATCCTAAAACCTCTGACCATAGTGTCTCTTTTCTGCTTAAAATCTGTAAATGACAGTTTATTGCTCTCGAGGTGGAGCCCGAGTGCATTGACAGAGCCACAGCCCCTAGGAGACTGCGTCCAGCAGTGGCCGCGGACTCTCCCCGCCCCCAGCCGTCCGTCTCCCGAGTGGCTCTGTGCCCTTCAGGCTCTTGCCCCTGGGTTTTCGCTGTGGCCAGTCCCTCTGCCTGGGGCACTTTCTTCCTCCTTCCTTCATCTTCCTCCTGCTGTCTTGTCTCTCGCCACTTGTCTCTCTTTCTTCAAGGTTGGTCTAGCTAAAGGTTTATTGTTTCTATTTATTTCTTCAAAGCACTGACTTCTTGTTTCACTGATTTCTCTCTATTATTTCTCTGTCGTCTATTGCACCTATTTCTGCTCCGATCTTTACTGTTCTTGCTCTTCTGGTTGCTCGGGCCTGGCTTGCTCTTCTTGTCTGTAGATTCTTGAGGTGGAGCTTAGATGATTGATTTTAGATTTTGTAATTCCTTCCTAATGTAAGCATTTAAAACTATGAATTTCCCTCTTGACGCTGCTTTAGTTGCTTCCCTTACATCGCAGTACATTGTGTTTCATTTCACTCACTTTAAGATCTTTTCTCATTTCCCTTGTGATTTCTTCTTTGATCCATGGGTTGCTTAGAGATGTGTTGTTGATTTTTCAAGTATTTGAGGGTTACCCAAATTTCTTGCTATTGTGATTACTAATTTCATTCTGTTGTGGTTGGAGAACATATTATGTATGATTTCAGCCCTTTTATACGTAGACTCATTTTACAGTCAAGCATGTGATTTTTCATGGAGAACATTCTCTGTGTCCTGGAAAAAAAATGAAAAGAATCCTGCTGTTGTTGGGCAGAGGGTTCTATAAACGTCACTTAGGTCAAGTCGGTGGGCAGTGGTGTTCAGGTCTTCTGTATCCTTACTGACCTTCTGTCTTGTTCTAACCATTTTTAGAGAGGGGTATTGAAATCTCCAACTGTAATTGTTGAATTGTGTTTTCCTCCTTTCCATTCTATCCGTTTAGCTTTATGTATTTGGGGACTATGTTGTTAGGTGTTTATACATTTGTACTTATTATATCTTCCTGAGGGATTGACCCTCCTTCAGCATCACTTACATGTCCTTTCTCCAGGGAGGTCTTTCCAGGTCACAGATGGCACTAGTCTCCCCTGTCATGAGTTCCTATGACTTCCTGTATGTTCTCTGTTATAATCTTCATCAAACTTTAGTGTAACTGCTTGAAATTCCATGAGACCAGGGAGCACGTCAAACGTAGGCAGCTCTTCGTGCCTAGCACCCAACAGAGTCCGCACGGAGTAGTAGGCTCTCTATAAATATTTGTTGACTGTATAGGATCATGTCTGTTAGGAATATTATATTAGCATCGGTTATCATTGCTCCTGCGAAGCAGCACTATCTTCAGCCACAAACATTTGGAAAAAAACATTAGTGCTTGAGGAGAGCTGTGACCCAGCACGCCTAGGTGCCGCCTAAATGCTTCCTGAGCAGAAGCGAGTCAGGATGCGGCCTTCACCCGAGGGAGACTGTCAGGGCAGCTTCTCTGGATCTCCCCTGCTTGGGGCCACTCAGGGTCACCTGTCTGAGGTGGGGCACATGCCCCAGTGTCCTCCAGTCTCCCTTTGGAATCGATCTAGCGCTGGCTTATCTATGGGCGATGTCTGTCAGGCTCTCCACACACGGTGGGTGTCCTTGGAAGCCGGGCTCCATTCACAGTGGACTTCCCACATGCCATGCCTTGTGCCAGCCCTTGAGGATGTGATGGTGAATAGGAATAAGAAGCACCTACATGCCAGGCCTTCTGCTGTGCAGCTGTGCCCAGCTCATGACAGTCCCACGAGGCAGAGCTTCCTGCAGCCCTCTGTAGGCGAGGGACTCAAGACCCAGGGAGGTTCAGCATTTTGCCCAAGGCCACACAGCAGCGAGGTGCGAAGCAGAGAGGTTCTGAATCCCACGCTTATTTCCACCCCTCCCTTCCTCCCGGAGAGGCGAGGAATGCCGCTCTGATTCTGTGGGTGTCCAGGCCATTTTCCTCCCAGATTGAAGTGCTGTGTGTATAACCACAACACCTAAAATGGAGATAAAAAATTATGTAGTAACTACAGTTTAAGGCAAATTAACCTTGATAGGATCTTTAATGTCATGTATTAGACTATTTTCCCTTGGTAACGCATTAAAACTGTCAAACCTGATATGATCGCACAATTAATGAGATTACACATGATGTAAATTTCAATTCATTATCATGGTGTCTGTGCTAATAGGCTTGCGGATCACAGCCGGAAGCCATGCTCGTTTGAAAGGACGACTTTCTGTGAATCGCATGAAATGAGCAGGTGGAGAGGTGACCGTGGCTCTGAGGGACTGGAGTGAACATGGACGGAGATCACAGCCACGACGTCAGACTGGTTGAGAGCGTCCTTCCTGACGCCAGGAAGCCGGAGGCCAACGGGAGACCAGCTCCTGGGCCCGCTTCCGGATCCCGGGGAGTCGCCCACCATCGCCTGCGGGTCCTCCAGGCCCCTCGCTCCTCTAAAGCTGCTGCTTTCCCGCAAGAATCATGAAACTGGAGTTCCTTCAGAGAAAGTAAATCACACGAGGGAGTTCTTCTGTGAACTTGAGGAGTAACAAAAATAACTCCTATTTCTTGAGACTGTGCAGTGCATTGGGCTGGTTATCAGATGCTCGTCACGCATTCATTTATGCCGCCTCCCAAGGGCCCGGCTCCTGTCATCAGCCCCCGCTTTTCAGATGATGAAACTGAGGCACCCGATGCCGAGAAACTGGACCAAGACCGTGTGGCTAGCTGGGACTGGATTGGAATCCTGTGTTTTTAGCAGTTGTCTTTTCTGCCCTTTGGGGACTGGAAAGCAAGCCGTCATTATGTATCATTACACATCTGGTGTTAGCATTCTCCTTGGCTGATGCAGTGGAGGATGCCCCCCACCACCCAATACATGGTGAGGGGAAACTCCGTTTTATGAACATGCACTTTGTGTGCATTCCTGAGCGAGGGCTGGAAATGCACTGGGGACTCGATCCTCACAACAAGCCTTCCCGGTGGGGTGTCTGCCTGAAGGAGCTGAGGCCCGGGGCAGCACCGCTGGCTGCAGTGGCTGGGGTTTGGGCCCCAGTCTGCCTCACCCCAAAGCTCTTGCCCAGTCTCCCTACCTGGCAGTGGGTGGGGCAGGGCCACTGTACCTTGGTGACAGTTCTGGACAATCACAGATCATCCCTGGGGTGTCTCGGCATCTCTGCTTCAGACAGACCTGCTGCCTGTCTCTCTGCCTTCCACACGCGCATTTTATCATGAAGATGTCATCCTGTGCCCGGATGCCTGGCAGCCGTGTCTCAGTGCCCTGCCGCTGCTGCTTCATTCCAGGCTCTGTGCTGGGCTCACGTGCTGCAGCCTAATCAGACATGGCTCCTGGGGAGGGAGGCCACAAAGTGACCATGAGGTGGACATGCAGGACAGAGGTGAGCCGAGCGTGGTGGCACCAGAGGAGAAGCAGATAGTCTGGGGCCAGCAGAGGGCTGGGGAGGGGCAGACAAGACCTCATAATGCGGGAGAGATGCTGACCAGGTCACGTGTGGTCTCCAGGGAGCTGGCCCCTGAGTGGACAGCAGGGCCAGCTGAGCCAAGGTGCAGGGCCTTCTGGGGACTTCAGCAGCTCCCGGGGTTGGGCAGGCCTGGATGGGGTGGGCAGACACTGGGCGTTATTTCCCGCTGACTCAGGCGTGCAGGGTGACATGGTAGGAGGAGCGCCGTGGTGGGGTCCAGACGGCAGCCTCTCATGCCCGCCCCACCTGGAGTTTCTCCCAGGTGAGGGCTTGGACAGGTGAATGCACCTCAGGCCGAGGGACGTGAGGGTCACTCTGCAGGCAGTTAGGAAACTCACTGGAGCCCGGGCCTGGCCTTTCGCACCTGGGCATCCCGGCTGCTCCTCTGCAGCCCTGCGTGGACGTCACTCAGAGAGGAACGGAAACACCACCCAGGACGAGGGTCTCTGAACGCGGTGGCTGCTGGCTGCCGCTGTCCTGGTTTCCCGATTCCAGTCGCCCTGCAGCTGGTGCTGCCAGCTGGGGCCAAGAACAACCAGGCGAATTTTAGAAAGGGGGCTTGGGGCACACGCACCAAAGGTAGTGCCCAGCGCCAGCAGAAGTACAAGGAAAGGCACTCCATGCCCTTCTCTGCGTTGCTGGGCGCTGAAGCAGCCTGTGTCTTACGGAGCACACACACCCCATGGTGGAGGAATCCCCTCTGGGCGGCCCTCTGAAGACGGCACGCGTTCCCGGTCAAGAAAACTGGCTACTGAGGATATTCGCAGCGCCAACAATCAGGAGGCGGCTCTGATGCCACCGTGGGGGCTGCGGCGATATGCCAGCCTGGGGACCTCTTGAGATCAGTGTAGATACTTTGGAGTCAGTTTGGCGATCACACAATGGACAGAAGAGCCTGATGGTGTGTGGACAAGGGGGCGAGCCCTCGGGGGGCCCTGCAGCGGGTCCGGGTGCCCTGCTGGGAACGGTGGCCCTTGGTGTCGGGTTGCAGGCCCATCGTCCCTGGCTGCTCTCTGGGGGGTGGGGGTGGGGAGCACTGCCTGGGTGGGGCTGCTAGGTTGGCTGGAGCCACTGTGGGGTGTCCAGACTGGATTTAGGGTGCCCTACATCAGGGTGCCGTGCTGTCTCACCACGCGCGTGGCCACTTGTTGCCCCGTCCTGGGACCAGGCCAGCCAGGGCAGTGGGCCCTGACACCAGCCCTGCCCTCCTGCGAGCACACACTGCCTCTCTCTGCCTGGGCCCCTCCCAGGCCCCTGCCTGGCGGCTGGGGCAGCACCAGCCTCTGCCACCTGATTCCCGTCCCCATCACTGCAGCGAAACAAGCTGGGTGGCGAGCTCCCTGGCGGATCCTCATAGCGGCCTGGCCGCGGCGAGTGGGGGCTCTACCCTTGTTACTCATGTCGCTGGACTGCTTCCCCCTCGCCTCTCCCCCCTCCCCTGCCCGCCTGGCCCTCCCCTTGCCTGCCCTCCGTTCCACTGCTTCCAGCTCTCTGTCTCTCTGTCTCTCTCTCTTGTCTCTCCCCTTCTGTCTCTGCCTTCTGTGTCTCTTCTCCCTCATCTGTGCCCTCCTTGTTAAATGGGTTCTGGACACCGGTTCTCTGCTGAGGGAGCTTCTGTGGGCAGAGGCCCTGTCCGCCCTCCCGCCCGCTCACTTCCGGGCATTCGCTCACCTGTCCTTCCCCCACCACACGCACAGCGTTTCCCTCTCGCCTGTGCCGGGTCTGGGGGCCACTGCGAAGGGCGAGTCTGGTGGAGTTAACTGCTTCTTCTCGGCTCCCTGGGCCCTCCTGTGTGCCCACGTGTCACAGTCCCAAGCACTCTAAGTTGTGGAATGTTCCATGCAGCCCCATCTCCCTCGCCAGACGATGGAGGCTCCCAGAACCCGGGCCAGGTCTTCCTCATCCCAGCACCAAGCCCAGGGCACCTGGCCTATCACAGCTTTCAGTCAGCTCTAGTTTGAATGAATGAATGAATGAAGCAACCATCTGGTCCAGCTGCTCAGTTTTACAAATGAGAACGTGCGTGCGGGTTGTCCAGGGCCGCACAGCAGGTTTGGGGGGCCCGGGCTCACCCTAGCCCCCTGCATCCTGCTGTCTCTGACCTCATGAGCTGGGGGTGGGTGGGTGTCATGGGGTGTCTTTGCTTGGGCTTAGTCTCCGGGGGGAATGCCAGTGGGCCGGGCTCCCAGCAGGTGCCTGGCGGGCTTTGGACAGGGAGGGCTCTGTGTTGCTACCCTGCTCAGTGCCGCACATGTGTTAGAGAGACTGGGACAGGTGAGCCCACATGACTCACACCTGCCTGTTCGTGCCAGGGTGGGAAGTCGGGGGATCTGCTGACGGAGAGCACCGGGATGAGTGCCCTTGACAGCCAGAGATTTCGCGTGTCTGAAAAACAGAGCTTTGGTGATGCTAAGACCTTTGTCATCCTGGGGTGTGCATGGGGCTGATCACGCTGCAGGCTGAGCCCTATAGCCCTGGGTCCCGGGAGGCTTCAGGCACCCAGGGCTGAGGCGAGGGAGGGTCCCTGTGCGAGGTCCTCCTCTCTGCTAGGAAGCAGGTCGGAGAGGCAAGGTCCTGCTGCCGCAGGACTGCTGAGGGCATGCCAGCCTGATTCTGGAGCTCCTCACCCTGCCTGTGATAGACTGTTCCAGGAAGGGCGAGTCCTGGTCTGCAGGGGGTGGAGGGTTCAGGGCCGCCTGAAGAGGTGAGGGCCAGGAGGGACCCAGGGGGTGCCACAGGCAGCAAGGTGGCCGCTGCGCCAGCTGAGCAGGGGCATTCCCACGGGTGTGTTGGAGCAGGGCAGGAGGGGGCCTGGCTAAGACAGCTAAGGGGGCATGTACCCTGGCAGGTACCCAGCTGCGCAGATGCTGGAACTCCAGGGGGCTGGCAGGTCTCTTCCCAGGGCCCAAGGGAGTTCCTCCACCAGCCTGGGCTGCAGTGGGGCCTCCAGGTCGTCTGTTAGGAGGGTCTGGTACCCACCCTGGGCCCAGGCAGCTTGGCGTGGGGGTGCTCAGACTGCTGTGTGGATCCCCGAGCTCAGGCCCTGGAGGGGTCTGGAGTGGGCCATGCCACGGGGGTCTGCCACGACGGCCCATCTCCCAGCTTGAGGCCTCACCCAGTGAACTGTGGGGCACCCAGGCTCAGAAGACAGGCAGGGGGGTATAGGTATATGCCTATACCCTGGCTGCTGCCCTGGGGTCGCCTCACTTTGCCCAGGGTGAAGCCAAGGCCCTGGGCCAGCTGTGGGAGGGCAGCCCTCCTGCACTGTCTCACCTGCTGCTGTGACTGTGGGGAATCGCAGGGCTGGCTGTGTTGGGATGGGGGAGGCAAAACAGGGGCTTAGCGTTTCCTCTGCTCTGGGCCATTTAAGTCTGACCGTCTCTGTTATTTTAACAGAACTTTAGGTGATGTGCTTTTCACAAGCAGGAGGCCCAGGAGCTGGTGAGGGTCTCTTTGGGACAGCCTAGTGCTATCATTGGATCAATATTTAAAACCCGGGCGAGCCAGTCACAGTGGCCTGGAAGCAGTGCCCACTCTCCTGGCTGAGGCCCCCTGTGCCCCTGACCCCCTCTCTGTCCACTTTTGGAATTTCCAGCCCCGTGCATCCATGTCACCATGGTTCTGAGCATGGGCTTGGTGCCGCATCAGCGGCGTGAGTCGAGGCCCCTGGTTTTGTTCTGTTCTCTGCTCTGTGGCTTTGCAGTGACCTTCAGAAGAGCCCCACGCCTACACAGCTCCTCCAGGTCCAGAGTCCCTCGGGCACCAGAGGGCAAAGCCTGCCTGCAGAACTGGGCCATGGAGGGGAGAGCCCGCCGCTGGAGGCTAGTGGAGGCCACACTCAGCTTGATTGGAAGGCAAAGCTAGCCCATCTCACCCAGGGTAAAGCAAGACCTGACTTCTGCTCTTGTGACCCCCACGAAGGCATCCCAGGGTGCTTTTACAAACCAGAGCAGGGAGGAACCCCGGCCAGTGAGATAAGAAAGCGGGGTAACCTGAGTGGTGCACGAAGGACCGCGAACGGTGGGCTGTGAAACCCTGGGCTCGGTGTGGAGAAGCGGGACCCCCAGTAGGTGGAAGCAGATTTGGCTTCACTAATCGGCCAAGCGCTGATTTACTCTTCTTGCGTGACTGGAGGGGTTCATCGAGGATGATGTTACTTGGTACATCTTGCAGTTTATAAAGTTGGATGTAGCTTTTTTCAATGCTTTGTTTATCTGAATCTCATCTTTTGTTTGCAAACAGTATCAAGAGATAAGAAAACACACATATAAACAGGAATCCCCCACCCCTCACTTTAGTGATAACACTCAATCTGTTCTCTGTATCGGTCCAGCTAGTGATGTTTTTGTTTGCATATTTCTAGAATTGTGGAAGAATCTCTGGGCTCATTTGGAGGGACCAGAGCTGAGGCCCTGGGGCCAATGAGAGTCCCCTCTTCACCCCTTCCTCTCCTCTGGGGACTGACTTTCCAGTGAACCCCCTCATGTCCCTCTGGGTTTATGGTGTCCCCTGCCCCCCCCCCCCCCCCCACTTTCCAGTGAACCCCCTCATGTCCCTCTGGGTTTATGGTGTCCCCTGCCCCTCGCCCCCCGCCCCCATGCCCCCTCCCCCTGGCCTCAGAACATAGCCTTTTGGCTTAGGACAATCTCAGGACATTTCTGTACAAATAACTGCTATACAACCTGTATCAGTCAGGCGAACTTGCTGCTGTAACAAAACCCCCCCTCACTGTTCCTGGTTTATCACCATAAATGCTCTGTCTTTGTTTATGCAGCCACGGGCTGGGCAGGCCTGGGGGGTCCTCAAGTCCTTCATTCCCTGCATGGCCAGGAAAGGGAATGCACAGGGCTGTGGGGTCTGTAAGGGAGCGAGGGTCCCGATGGCCGGCAGCTGTGAGACCCAGGGCTGTGCTCAGA